TGAATATGTCTATCATGCCCAGCTTGTCACATAACTCATTGTGCCGCGAGTATGGAAGTCCTTTTGTGAGGACATCAGCAAGTTGTTTCTTGAAGTGACATAAGGGATGCAAATTTCCCCTTTCTCCATTTTTTTCTTTATGAAGTGTTTGTCCACTTCAATGTGCTTGGTCCTCTCATGTAGGATAGGACTGCTGGCGATGTTTATGGCTGCCTTGTTGTCATAGTAAAGAGACATAGGATTATGAACAACAATTCCAAGCTCCCCTAAAAGGATTTTTAGCCAAAGAACTTCAGCCACCCCATGTGCCATAGCTCTATATTCCGCTTCAACAATTGACCTTGCTACCACACTTTGATTTTTGCTTTTCCATGTCACTAGGTTTCCTTCCACAAATGTGCAATACCCACTTGTGGACTTTCTGTCATCCACAACACTTGCCCAATTAACATCTGTAAAGACTTCCACCTTTAGATGATTATGTTTACTGAATAGTAGACCTATTCTTGGATACTTTTTAAGTATCTAAGAACTCTTTTTGTTGCCTTCATGTGTGGTTTCTTAGGAGAGTGCATGAACTGGCTCAGGACCCCAACTGAATAGGCAATGTCTAGATGGGTCATGGACAAATAAATCAACTTTCCCACTAACCTTTGGAACTGTTTCACATCTTTCAGAGGTTTACCATCAGAGTCACCCAATTTATGATCAACATCCATAGGAATATCTGTTGGCCTTGCACCTAACTTGCCTGTGTCTTATAACAAATCAAAGGTGTACTTCCTTTGAGAAATGAAGATGCCTCTTTTTGAGTGGGCAACTTCAATTCCAAAAAAATACTTTAGAGGACCTAGATCTTTCACTTCAAATTTAGATGCAAGGAATTGTTTCAACTTTTGTATTYYTGAACTCCAATTTCCYGTAATGATGATATCATCCACATACACTATCAATACAACAACCTGTTCCTGACATCTCTTCACAAAGAGTGTGATCAGACTGACATTGCTTGAACCCTACTTGTTGAACCGCCATATGAAACTTACTGAACCAAGCCCTGGGAGATTGTTTTAAACCATGCAGAGACTTTCTCAGCTTGCACACCTTATTTTCACTTCCCTTGACACAGAATCCAGGGGGTTGAACCATGTACACCTCCTCCTCTATGTCACCATTTAAAAAGGCATTCTTTATGTCCAGTTGATGCAATTCCCAGTCAAGGTTAGCGGCTAATGAATAATGACAGAAGAACTCAATTTGAGTTCATCTTAGCTACTGGAGCAAATGTCTCATCATAGTTAACCCTGTACACTTGAGTGTACCCCTTGGTTACTAATCTTGTTTTGTACCTTTCAACTGTCCTATCCGCCATGTGTTTAACTGACACCCCACCGAGTCTTTCCCCCTTGGAAGATCCACCAATTCCCAAGTTTGATTTTCATGGAGTGCATTAATCTCCTCCTTCATAGCATCTATCCATTCAGGGTATTTTAAGGCTTCTACAACATTTTTGGGAGGGATGCAATCAACTGTAGATAGGAAAGCTTGGTATGAGGGGGAAATGTGATCATAGGAGACATACTGGGTAATGGGGTGTTTGGTAGTGCATGACCTGAGACCTGAGACCTGACTCCCTTTCTTTGAGCAATAGGAATGTCAAGGTCATCTACAGTAGGAGCAGGGGTATCAATAGGTGCAACAGGGTTTGGACTTACCTCCTGAGAGTCTGACGGTGTTGGTTGCTCAATGTTTGGTAGCTCCACACCTCTGTCACATTGCTGATATCTACAGTGTTTACGTTGGAAGACACGAAAGGGGGCAAGGTCCAGAATAAAAGGAAGAGAGACTTAGTGGACTTGAACCTGCTTCTCCTCTTCCACACTACTCTCCCCCTGAGGAGAAGCAGGGAAGAACGGTTCAGACTCAAAGGACACATCCATAGAGACAAAAAACTTATGACTAATGCAGCGATTGATGACATTAGCAGCTGCAAATATAGCATCCATCCAAAATCTATGAGGAACATTCATGTGTAACATCATCCCTTGAGCTACCTCAAAGAGGTGTCTGTCTTTTCTGTTTGCAACACCACTTTGTTATGGTGTTCTTGTGCATGAGCTCCTATGAATAGATCCATGGGAGGCAAAGAACTCATTGAGCTCACCATGGAAATATTCCTTTGCATTATCTGATTGAAAGATTTGTATCTCAATATGGAACTATGTAAACACCATCCTCTGGAAGTCTTTCACAATCTTTGGAACTTCATCTCTGCTATGCATGGGAAATACCCATATATAACGGGAGAAATCATCAATCAATGTGATAAAGTACTTATACCCGCCCTCAGAGATTATAGTGGTAGGTCCCCATACATCAAAATACACAAGATGGAAAGGAAAACTTGATCTTTTATTATTTGAATGAAAAGTTGTTCTACATTGTTTGTTCAACTGATATGTTTGACACTAGAAATCTGACACTGAACATTACTTAAATAAAAATGGAAACAAAGACTTTACTATTTCAAATGAAACATGGCCTAGCCGACTATGCCACAGGAAAAGTGAAATCCAATTTGTGTGGGTGAAGTATTCAATGACAATGGTTTTGAGTTTCTAACGCTTGTGCATATTCCATGAGAGATCATGTATAGCTATCATAACTTTTGAAACATACTTATTTGTCTCAATACCATAAATCAGATCATAGTAGTACTCTGAATTTGGGATTAAGAACAACTGCAATTGCCAAAACCAATTTACAATCTTTCCAATCTTTATTAAACTTTTCATTCATCTTCTATGCCATTGAAAATAAAAAAATGACGTTCACCAATTTCTCACTCACACAACTTAAGTTTGATAAGACAACCATTAGAGAAGAATATGTTAGAAGTTGGATGATTTCTCCTGAAAGGCATTGGTTGTAGTGTAAAAAACCTTCAAACAATCCCATATGATAGAACATATTTCCCACTCTTCGTCTCTTCCTCAGATGGGTTGAAGGGGACTCTCAAGTGGTTGTAGGCTTGCTAAAGAATGAAAAAAGCCAGCCTCGACTTATCAAGATGTGGTGAAGAAGATAAAATGGTTGTTATGGGTATTGAATGCAACATTTCAGTGGGTTCCAAGGGATACTGATGGGCTGGCAGATTCTTTAGCAAGGCAAGGGGTAAATAGGGAGCAGTTTTGTTGGGCTCATTTGTAATGTCTGTATTTTAAGGGTATTTTTATCCCCTTTGAATCCTCGTTGTAAATTATTGTTTATATTAATGAAATGTTTCCCTGTTAATTATCAAAAAAGAAAAAAGAAAAGCCAGTTAGGGAATAGTTAACCATGAGAGAAAGAGAGGGAGAGCAAACAGTTTACCATGAATGGGGGTGTTGGCACTTGGAAGGTAAATGAAGTCTCTCAAAACAAATGGCCAAATGGGAGAATTCAAATCCATCCCTTATTGGATTGAATTCAAATTCAAATTGGATCAGATCTGGCTCATTTGCAGCTCTAAAACCATGCCCATTTGAAACTTCCCTAATTACTGGGAAATGCCTAAACATTTCTCTAAATCAAGTATCAGCATGCCAATTTACATCATAGATGTTGCACTCACTGGTCAGCAATTGCATTATGCTGCTGAAAACATATCTGAAACAATGCAAAATCAGTTTCTTTTACCTTGAGTGGGAGTTAATCAAGAGGTAAGTACAAGATGTGAACAATCTTAAGGAAAAGGAAGTAATATGGCTTTTTGTAAATACATACATATATGCATAAGTATACATACACACATACATACATTTGACTAGAAACTGAATTTCATTGGGTGCAGCTTTGGTAATTTAGGTCTTTCAGGAGTAGGTGACTAGAAATCCTGGGAGTGAAATGGTGGATGCAGGCCTGATGGGTACCTACAGTAGAAATTTTGCTTTATTATAAGGACTGAGACTGCCTGCCTTGCATATTACCAAAATTTAATTGTTGAAGGGGACTCAAATTTTGTAGATTAGGAAGAGGATTGGGGATGTGCTCATCTCTCAGATTTGGTTAGACTATGATGTAGATAGTTCTCTTCAACCCTTGATCAGACCTCAGAACAAGGATAAGACTGTTTATGTCAATAGTCCATCCGTCCATCGTCCGTGTAGAAACCTCAAACTTCATTTCTTCTAATCTAACCATTGGATTAGCTTGAAGTTTGACATTTTGAAGCTTAAGAAGAAAGTGAGAAATTCTCCAAATCTTAAGCTAATAATCCTATTTTTAACATGCTAGACAGAATTTTGGTGATTATAGAGATCATCTTTTAGCTTTGATTTGATCATAACTAGGCTTTCATCAATCCTTGACCAAGCCTCAGAAGAATTATCCATGTCTACAACCTAACTTTTGGGTAGAAATCTGAGATTTAATTTCTTTTAATCCAGCCATTGGATTAGCTAGAGATTTGGGTATCTTGAAACTTTAAGAAGATTTATAGGAGATTAGAAATATCAAGCTAATCAGACTACAGGAAGACTTTCATCAAGGAAGGTTACTGTCGTTCACATTTCTGTGCCTAACAACAGTCAGTCAAAGTCAAGGCCAAACATTTGATTAATGGCCCCACATCAAGGGTTTCCTGAAATTGACTATTTGTAGTTCAAGTTTCATGTCACTTGGGTCAGTAGTTAATGAGTTATAGTAGTTATTTTGCTTCTGGAAACCTGAGGTTAGTTTTCTAACGTAGCATGCAATATGAGGATCCTAATTAGCCAATCAGTAAATATGTAAGTCCTATCTAGATATAAGTTTCAGTTTTCTTATGGTATCATTTCCTTGTAATCAGCATTTTGTAATTTTAATATTATAAAGCTTCCTTTTATTTTTGTAATCCATATTCTTTTGGATTCTTTATAAAATTGAAAGCCTTATTAATTTTCTTGTCATGCCTACAAGAAGTGTGATTTGTTGCAGCTAAAATGTCAATAACCAATTAGTATGAATCTTTTATCCTCTAGGTATCTTTGGAACTTGGTGGGAATGCACCTTGCATTGTCTTTGATGATGCAGACCTGGATGTTGCAGTAAAAGGAAGTGTAAGTTCTCTTTGGTACTAATAGCTACATTCATGGTTTAAAGTGTTGCATGTATTTCAATATTTCACAACATATTTCCATTTCCATGGGTATTGACATGAAATATTACCTGTTCAGCAGTGTGTTAATATCTTTTATACTGTTATCAATAAATATTACTTTGTTACTTCTATTAGTATAAAGTTTCAATTTACATGTATACAGATATAATCCAAAGAGTTTTTTTATTATGTTTTTGTTCTCATAATTCTCATTAGACATGTCACTTTCTATCTTATTTCCTTTATGAAATATGTTCAGTTATACATAATTTAATAAATTATAGTCCATATTTCAATTTGAAATTTTAAACTCATAAAAGGATAAGCAGTAGTCGTACATAATTTAATAGCATAGGCATCATATTAATATTTAAATAATAAATTTTGTTAACGAAGAAATAATAAAATGTAATGTCTAACTATAATATCAACAGCAGGTATAATAATTTTTAAACCCTTAATCTAAATAGTATTGGCGTGAAACTCCAATAATAGTCTTCTCCCAATTGTTCTTTCTCTTCTCTTCTCTTCTCTCTCTCTCTCTCTTCTTCTTCTTCTTCTTCTTGCACTTTCTCACCTGACTTTTACCAATACAAATCATTATTGTATATCCTTTTTATTTGCTGCAAGACAAGTGCAGCTACACTTGGCTTTAAGTTCAAGGAGAATGACAATAAGTTAGACCAATTGAATAAGTCAAACTAGGGGCTGAAGTACTCTCATAGGGCTTGGGTTGAGAGGCATAGATGAGTAGTTCCAGAGAATGGTTTCAAACAATCTCTAGTTGATGATACTTTATTCATCAAAGGATTGGGAGATTCTTTGACTACTCTCATTTTTATTTGGACAAAATTGTAGTTACTGGAATAACCTTGGTGAGATAAGCAGGCTTAATTCCCTAGCATCTGAATTCAATATTAAGGATTTAGAAAAACTTTGTTATTTACTGGGATAGAAGTGACTTGATAAACAAGAGGATTTTTTATATAACAAAGGAAGACACACTGGATTTGTTAAGGGAGACAAGGATGTTTGAAGCAAAGCTAGCAGAGTTTCCTTGAAATACTCCCATGAATCCAAATCATATGTTCACAGGTGAAGTTCTTCCAAAAATTGTTAACAATATCAATGATATTTGTCAAAATTTTCTTGAAATATCCCTATTTTCCTAGGTGTCGATGGAAAATTTTCCAGGAATCTTTTTTTCCTAATACCTTTGATATTTTGTTGATATAGTGATATGTCCGCGAATATTTCAAATTTCATTGATATATTATATATTTAAGGTTTAACGTTTTTGAAATTAGAATATTATTAAAACATTTTCAATATTTCATTAAATTCATCATAATTCTTTTAAAAATCTTTTCCTAAAAGAACCTATTGGGAATTGATGATTTGATAATTGGCCTACTATTTTGATATGGTTCCCATAATTGTTCACTATAATTCAAAAGAAAAAGAATAGAGCATACAACTAAAAAGGAGGATATTCAATCTAAGTAAAACATATAATAAAAAATATAAAAGTCAAAATGGCAAGTAAATTACATAATTAATGAAGAGAAGATGGCTAAAAGACTAAAAGGAAGACAAGGGAAAGATACCTATTATAGTCTCTTAATTTTCTTCTATTTGATTTATATAGTTCTTTGCTATGATTTTTTGGGCCTTAAAAGTGCAATTATACTTCTTCTAATGATTCCTTGAAGGTTTATTAACTAATTCCATGTTTTTAGAAAACTTTCCTGGAATTTTTAGTTTTTCCAAATATCTTAACAAAATTAGTGAAATATGTCTGAAATTTCTCCTTATTTACATGGAAAAATGCCCATCAATGTCAAAATTGTGAGCCATGCTTCTAAGTAAAGGGTTGTTACAGAGGTTGATCGGTTAACTTCTTTATTTATGTTTAACTGATTAAATATTGCATATGTTGTGGGTGTCATCAACCAGTAAATGCAGTAACCAAGAAAACTACATATTGATGTAGTTAAAAGGATTTTGAGCTGCTTAAAAGGGATATTTGGAAGAGGAATTTTGTATGCTAATCATGGTCATTTATAAATAGAGACCTTTCTCTATAGATGCTGAATGGGTAGGTTTTGTTAATGATAGGCCATCCATCCTTGGTTACTTTACTTTCTGTTGGAGGTAATATGATGTGATGGAGAATCAAGAAGCAATTCATTTTTGCAAGATCTAGTGCTAAAGACATACAAAGTGCTTAATTGCTGTGTACATCTCCTCATGTACCTTCTCTTTTCTTCAAAAAAAAAGAAAGACATAAACAAAGCAATGACTCATTGTGTGTTTGAGCTTAAGCTCATCTAGCATGGTAAACTATTCACATTGTGGTCAATTGTCATGTCATAAGAGAGAAAGTTTCTATGGTAGAAATATGTTTAGTTTTTATAAAATCTGAAAAGGCAAAAGGTATTTAACTCTAAGTTGTTGATAATCTTGGCAAGCTAGGCACAATTAATATCTATGTTCCACCTTCCATGAGGGAGAGTGTTGAGTGGATCGTGATTTATATTACAATTCATTATATGTACTATTTAAGTCATTTTTATGCTATCTATTTTAAACATATAAAAGCTAATGATTTGAGGCATGAATCCCAAGATAGTTCTTTCTCAAGATTTCTTTTCTTCCTCTTCTCTTCTCTTTTTCTTGTTATTTATTATACCGATCTTCAAGTATTTTTAACTCTATTTATCATACATATATGCCAATTAAAATACTCCTTTAATTACACTAACCAATCAAATAATACTTGTGGCTTATTGTCTCCTTTCACATCTAGATTTTCCTTTTCCCTTCCAATGTTCTTGATAATATTGTTCTTATTAGTCAACCTTATCATATATGGTTTCTTCCACCATCTTTCAAATAAACTAACAAAAGATGATTGGTTTGGTTTAGAAAACTGATTATCATTGATTCTAGATCTCTAAGATTGTTTATAACATACCTTATAGAATCAATCACTTCTAAAAACTTGGTAATTAACCATTAGTTTTGATACCAAATGATGTAGGATCCTGCTTTGGCACAGCTAGTGTAAGTGTTGTGGGCCCGGGCGTAGGATCTCGTCACGGGTCGGTCCATGGGGAGAACCTCTAGTTTCCCCTTGCCCCTCCCTTTGCGTGCTGACCCTATCATTGTGACCTAAGGGGTGATTTTTCCAAGAGATCACCCTAACTCTCCTTTACTCTTCT